AACGCGGAACGGTTCGTGGGCGGACTGCGTAACGGTGTGCCCGGTGAATTATTATAATCTCTCGGCGAATAGAACGAATTTTATTTCGAAATCAGTCGCCCACAGACGTGATCGTAATTCTCATTATTTGCGGGACGCGGGGAAAACTGCTTTCTTTTTTTTTTTCATACTCAACTGCGAAAAGTTGGGGATTTGCACGCTCGGTCGGGACTATGGATTCGCCAGAAAAGTAATAGACTTTAGGAGACATTAGCATTTCGACGGGTTTTTTCTCGTCGTTTTTCTTTCTTTTTCGTGAACATTCGCTTAAAGCTGATCGAAAAAATTCGTCGTTAAAATTAAGCTCGGAGGAAACGACGTGTACATTCTCGATCTCAACAACGACTGATGTTGCTATTATTCCTCGTTTCCTCTAAAATATCTTCCTCCCTTGTAAGAGTAACAAGAACGATGAGCCCGGGAGTTCGTGGAGTATCTCCGGGACAAGCTGAAGAGTTTGGAGGGCAAAGGTGAAATCGTCCGTTTTCTTTTTTGCCCCCTATCCCTCCCCCCTCGTTCAATGGGACGGAGGGAAGCGAGTGACGGGATAAACGGGACCGGGAAGCTATCCCGAAATCTCTCTTCTGGATACAAAGTGAAATTGATGGCCCGCATTTACCGGCGCGCGTGTAGACGGAAACACGTGGGAGGGAGAGAGAGGGAGAGAGAGAGAGGAGGGAGATGTTATACCAGACAGTGATGCGCTGTCGATCCCACCTGCGATGCATCCTAAACGAAATGGCGCTAGGTAAAAAAAAATATATCTGTTAGATGTATTCGATATAATGCGCGCGGTTGTGCGTCGAGGTAAGCCGATACTAAACCGACGTGCGACGCGAAGCGAAAGGGATATACGAGAAGCGGAGCGAGAAAGGCGCCCCCTGTTTATCCGAAGACAGCATAATTTCGCGGGAGCTTTGCTGATTTATCATTTGTATATTATACGTTTTGGGCGCAACGCGTCGCTCGACAATTTGCATACGTTTATTTATTCCGTGACAATTGTTACCCTAAAGGGATTGTTTACATTTCTCGCGAGCGTGATATTCATTAGGTCCCGCGCATGGAGATGATAACAAGCGAAATAAATTTGGTTACGTCATAAATTATGCGGATGCGCGGCGGTGAACGGAAGGACAGGCGCAACATCGGCTAAAGCGAAGCGAATTAATACCGCGTTTCTGTGTATTTCGCACGTGTATACGTTTAATTGTGACAGCGGATAGGAATTAGTTTCGCATTAATTAGCGACGGAAATTACGCCTCGAATTTTATATGGTCGAGATAATGTATCGCGGCAAAATATAAAGGACAAAAAAAAGGAACTCGAATTGCATTTTCTGAATTGGGCCGTGTATACCCAGTCGAGGGGGTGCGTCGGAAAAAATAATTATATACAATCCTTATCGAGCTGAACGCCACGGGCTGTAGATGCGGTGCAACAATTATGCAGTTTGTTGTTGCAAAAATTCCAGAGGGATGATTTAAACGCGGAACGATAAATTACGTAAATTTAGAGGCGTAATAAATTATGTGCGCGACAAAGGAAGTCGAGCGGAAAAATGGCGAAGATACGGAGGATTTACGTCAGCCCTCTGCACACACGGTCCAATAACGGTCGTATGGAAGCTTTTGCTGCGGCGGCGGGGGGTGCGTTTCAATGAGTTATAGGGCGCACATAAATGTAAAAGAAATTTATTAAGCTTCAAAGTCGCGAAACGGCTGTGTGTTTCGCCGGGCAAATCTCCCCCGTGGAAACGCAGCTGCTGGAAAACAGACGAGAAGATTTGTCGCGTCCGCGAATGTAAAGACGAATGAAGATGCGGCCG